AACAGTCTTATCCCATAACTTTTAACTTTTTGGATTGGTGGTATTGGATTTCCACTACCCTCATCAAAGTAAAACGTATATCATGAACAGTGAGACATCCTCAACGGTCGGGAATCATGAAAAAGCCCAAACTGCTTGGTGTCAGGGTACTCTTTACCGTACCTACCTTTAGTGAGGAAAAATAGTGTGCATGAATTAAATAGCAACTCGGTGTAGAAGCGTGAACTCTCCTAATCGTCTGTATATAATTATGGTAATAAAGACCAATTCTACTTATTCAGGCCTTTTCACGTCGCTTAAATGCCCGATACACCTTAGCTCCGAAGCCACATAATTCGAATTGCCCGTCTAAAGGCATGACGTGTAAGGACCTCAGTATAAATGAACACACAATAGAAGACACGATATCACAAAACGTACAGTACAACAACGCAGCAGGAGACTTCCGGCTGGCAAGAGTTTCAGTTACACGGTGCGTCTTCCCCCCACTCCCCAGACCCACCGATGGTGGATCATGCGGGGGGGGCGAGCTCTTGTGTGTCTCTGGTAACCCGCCCGGCAGTGTGGGTCTCAAGCATGCAAAAAATACCAGTGTTACTGTCAGATTGTCATGTTTGTGCTGAAAGGACTTTGTAACCATTGGCCATGGACTGCGCTACGTCAATGGTGACGATTCAGTTGATTGGCGAAAGTATCGGAGGTGGAAGATGTGGCGCGAAGGAAACAAAAGGAAGCTTCGTCAGGGCTTGGACTCTTCTTCAGGGAAAAGCTTTGGAAATTGTCGGGCATCTTACGGAGTCTGATGGAAGGAAGTGAGAAGGTGATATTTGTCCTCCGAGGCCTTCCACGACGTCGAGCTCGCGACCACTTGGAACGACAAGAGGCAAGAGCTTGCCAAGCTGCAGAAAGCTCGGAAGTTCAACCAGGCCGGTAACCTGGAAAGGCCCTTTCGCATCGCGGTTGAGGAAGCCCTCGGCAGGCTTTGAAGCCGATCCAACACATGACTGACTGCCTTGTCACCTCTCGTCAGTGCCAAAACCATGAGGTAATCGCCACCCTAGGATTTGCTACAGGCGTATATCTCTAGGGCCGTCGGCTCTGATTGGCCACGTGGGAAAGTGAACTCCTGACACATAAAGGTTTTTACCAAGCAAATAGCCAGCCTCCGAACGCATGATACTCTTCAAAGAAGGAGCAAGGCTCCTACCTTTACCCAGCGCACCGATATTCCACATGTCCATCTCTAGGCAATCGTTTCACGAGGGACCTGCGCGCCTTGGCCTCTTGCAGTTTGATGTGTGTCACCCGTCGGAATCTATAT